GGCAGCTAGGAAGGAATCACTAGATAGGAAGAGGTTGAAAATAAAGGAGAGAATGGAATGATATGGGCTGGGGTGGGAGGGGATCTGCCATAAAAGATGGGAGGGGATAACTTCTACATAAAGAGAAGTTAGCTTTAGCAAGGAAAAAGGATCACTTTTTTGTCCAAGATTGGACTGAAGGAGGATATTGTGGAGGAAGATAATATGAGATGAGTAATAATATGAGATGAATAACATGAGATGAGCCAGGGAGAAGGAGGAACTTTCAGCACATGTCCTTGATTTTTTTTTTTTGGTGAAGTTTAGGCAAGGTCCTAGTAGGCCAAGATGGGGAAAGAGATACTGTAGGAGGTTTCAAGAGAGAGAAGGTTTAGAACAACTGCTGTGGAGTGGAATAGCACATTGATTAGGGATGAATAGAATGTTTGTCTTCATGCAGTGAGGACCCAGTTGAGATTATGTAACGTAAATTTGTAGTGGGCCCAGTCAGCATGGTTTTCCTTCTATCCTCCATATCCATTCAGCAGACATGTAAAGAGCAATGAAGGAGATTGATGGGAGAAGTAAACCCGTCCTGGGTTTTGACAAAGAATGATCAGCAGAGGGACAGGGAAGCAATGGTAGAGGGTGAAGCATAATGTAAAGTTGAGTTGGTTTATTACAGATTGATGTAAGGTATTAGATTGTTGTTTTCCTAGTGATCTCAGTCTTACGCCTCCAGTTTTGACTCTGACTTCCTTTTTCAGATAGAGATAATGGGGTTTGTCACGGTCACAAGCACATTTGTGGAAATGAATGCATATAAAATGCCTAGATCCTCCAAAGGGCGTAGGGGTCCAGGTTGATAGGGATGGGAAGCATTGCTGATCTGTGAAATTCAACCAGTTTTCTGTGTATTCATCTCTCTAGTGAGGTCTAAGTCTAAGACCAATTTACTTCCACTATCATTCAAAGCAGAAGATTGTAGAGAGTATGCCTTCCTTCTGGCCACACCTGCTGTGTGTTTTTATAGACAAAGCAACCATTCTCATCTCAAGAGCTAGACTTTAGCAGCTGAGCAGGCTGCTTCCAGTCCAGCTCATTCCTCTGGGTTACTTTATCGATTGGCTTGATTATGGATGTCAAGACAGCTCAGCAGACCGGCAGGAGCCCTCCTGTCCGAGGGGTTAAGGGCAATTAAAAAATTCCCCAGGTACACTGATAGCTCCCCTGTAAGCCCCTGGGGTGCCTCTTGAGAGGAGCAGGTGCTGCAGACCAGTGGTTTAAGATTCCAGATCATTGTTGTGAAGGTCTACCTCGGAAACAGTCAGACACCTTGGGTCAGCGGGGCAGCAGCAGCATGTTCTAGGAGCATCGCTGTCCTCAGATATAAGGTGCTCGTCTTCTGTTCTCAGATTTGTCATTGATAGGCTGGATGGCATGGGGAGAAACATATGATCATAGCCCTGCTGCTGGAAGAAACCTCAGGGCTTCAGATTTTTCCTCTACCAAATGGAATTCAGATCTGTCCTTTCTCCTTCCTACCACCCAGGTGGCAACTAGGTAGGGCAATGAATAGAACACTGGGTCTGAAAGACCTGAGTTCATATCCTTCCTCAGGCACTTTATTAATCGTGTGACCCTGAACACGACCCTGAAGCTTTAGCTTCCCAATCCAGCTTTATCCAGAAAGATAAAGATAAAAACTAAAATAATGATAAAATAGCACTTCCTTTAAAAGGTTGTGAGGATCAAATGAAATGACAGATGGAAGGTGCTTCACAAACCTGAAAGTGCCATGTAAATGCTAGCTTATTATTATTATCTCTGGGCATGATACAATATAACTCTATGAAAGCTACCAAAAATAAAAATGTGTTATTAGGATGAGTAGGCTAGAAAATGCTGTGAGATCCCTAGAGAAAGGTACTGAGTAAATTGTCTTTATGATCATAATTATTTGGGTCTTATTTTTGGTTGATAATTACAATTATTAAAATCCTCGTTACAATTGACATTCACATACGGCCTTAAGGTCTACAAAGCATTTCCTATGCATTCTGATTTGATCCTTGCCATAGCCCATGAGGTGAATGCTGTAGGTTTAAAATACTGTTGAGGAATCCAAGGTTAAGTGAATTTGCCCATGGTCAGGCAGCCCTAAATTATCTATAGGGGGATTCCAATTAAGTCCAAAGCCCTCTCCTCTATACCACAGTGCATCAAAAAGGAGAAAGTAAGCTTGTGGGAACTCATCGTGGTAAACATTTGTTAGCTGTGGACCAGGAAGCTGGTGGCACAGCGGATAGAGCACTGAGCCTCAAGACCGGAGTTCAAATCTGGCCTCAGACTCCTATTAGCTGCGTGACTTTGGGAAAGTGACTTAACCTCTTTTTGCTTCAGTCTCCTCAACGGTAGAATGAGGATAATAATAGCACCTAGCTCCTAGGGTTATGGTAAGGATCAAATGAGATAATGTTTGTAAAAAGTGCTTAGCACAGGGACTGGCACATAGAAGGTACTACACAAGTGTTTATTCCCTTTCCCCACTATGTTAGATGCTAGAGATACAGATACTAAAACAAAATGGCCCTTGCTCCCAAAGAAATTATCTTCTTATGGGGGATACAACATGTACACAGACAAGTGAATACAAGGTAATTTGAGGAAAGAGAGAAATATAATAATGGGGTGGGAGGGGAGGGTCAAGGAAAAGTTTGTATAAAAGGGAACACCTGAACGGAGAACTCTGAAAGACACTACGGATTCTGATTGGCAGAGGGAAGAAGGGAGTCCATTCCAGGCAAGGAGATCAGCCCGTACAAAGACCTGGAGGTAGTAGATAGTATGCTGAGTTGGAGGTCCAGCTAATAGTCTGGTTTGGCAGCCATCGTTGTTTGTCCTTCATTCTCAAAGAGGACCAGTGACATCAGGAGGGTGATACCTTGACCTGCAAGTGAATTGGATTTAAGTGAGGCAGGGCTGTGCAAAGTCACCAGCTTCACTCTCTCCTCCTGCCCAGCGGCAAAACCTAAGTCAAGATGACTGGTGATGGCCCTTTGGTGGACATAGAGAGTGTGTGGAAGCGGGAAATCTAAACAATGTCTAGAAAAGGCAGTTGGAGTAAGACTGTGAATACCTTTAAATATTATACAGATAAATATGTACTTTATCCTAGAGATAATAGGGAATCACCATGTGTATGTGAAGAAAGAAGGGAAGTGGTCAGACCTGTGGTTTTCACACCCCAGGTAGAAAAGAAACTCATACATGGTATCCTGGTAGCAAATTCTAACTTCTAATATAAGACCATAAAGCTGTTTGTTAAGTTTTTTTTCTCTAATTCAACTTAAAACAACTTGAAACCTATAACTTAAAACATTAGGTAATATAGAATGCCATTTAAACTTGAGTCTGGGCTTCCCTTCAGAAATCCAGAGTACCCAGGTCTATGTAGTTGTCAGCAAATTCATTAGTTTGGGAATCCACTTTTATCATCATAGGATTTAGAGCTAGAAAGGACCTAAAAGGTAGTCAATCAATGATCCATCTGTGCACAAGTGCGCGTGCACACACACACCATTTACAAATTAGGGAACTGAGGCCCAGACCAGAGAAGTGATTTCCCCAGGATCCTAGAGATCAAGAAAAACTGGACCAGCCTGAAGATGATTGACCCAAACATTTCACTCACTGAACTCACCACCATCACCTCTTTTTTTTTTAATTTTTTTTTCATGAGGCAGTCAGGGTTAAGTGACATGCCCAAGGTCACACAGCTAGTAGGTGTCAAGCATCTGAGGGCAGGTTTGAACTTAGGTCCTGCTGACTTTAAAACTGGAGCTTTATCCACTGCACCACCTAGTTGCCCTCACTACCACCTCTTAAAGAAGAATGGAGTGCCTGTTGGGGAGATAAGATGACGACTAGGGGGAGAGAGCCAAAGACCAGACTGGAGAGGTATGGCAAATGTACCCTTTCCCCCTGTAGAAGTGCCAGTCAGAAGTGCCTGCCCCCAGGCCATGGACCAGCTCCATAAGTCATCATTGGCTCCTCCAGAGAGGCATCTGTGGGAGAATCACCCAGCCAATAAGCATTTCTTAGATACCTAATTTGTTCTAGGAACACAAAGATAAGAATGAAATATTTCTTGCCTTCAGGGAGCTTTCATTTTAATGGGGAGGAGTAGCAGGTACACATACAAATAGATGCCAATTGGGTTTGGGGGGAGGGGGGAATGAACCCTGTGATTTCAATGGTAAAGGGAACTCCCTCTAACAATGCACATTGGTACTTTCTCTATAATTTAGAACCAGGGTTCTTAACCCAAGAAGATTGTAAACTTGATTTTTGTTTGGAGAGTGTCTTTTTTTTTTTACATTTTGATAACTGTATTTCGATATAATTGTTAACTTTGTAATCCTCTGTATTTTATGCATTGGTCTGAGAAAGCAGCCCATAAGTTTCACCAGACTTCCAAAGGGTTAAGAACCTTTGTCTTAGCTGCCTGGGACACTGAGAGGTTAAATGATTTGCCCAGAGACATACAGCTAGTATGAGTCTGAGACAGGTCTTCCAAACTCCAGGGCTTGCTCTCGTGCCTCACTACCCCTCTTGTATAACACATGCAAGATAAATACAAGATAATATCTGTGTTTGGCCTCGCTGGCCACATGTGGTCCGTGGGTCTCACCACACCATGGTCTGGATTCATTATTGGGTCTATTTTGTGGGGGAAATGTGGGGGCAATAGAAGGGGGCCCCCAAGAAACTATGGCTGCAGAGTCCTTGCCTTGGTGCAGGGTCAGTGGCAAGCAGCTCTTGGGAAAGCATCTGGATAAGGTGGGTTAACTCTTTCTGTGAGAACCCCTGGAAGCTAAAATGAAAAGCCTGCGGTCAGCTGCTGGGCGCCCGGTGTAGCAGGGTGAGAGTGGCCACGGAAACGGGCCCCTGCTCCCTCTGCAGGACTTACACAGTTAAAACCTATTTTGCTCTGCAGCAACAGGGAAGCTGGCGTGCTGTGGGCTAATCCCAGCCTCCTTGAAGCAGTCCGGCTTCTGTGTTCAAATGCAGACCCCACAGCACTTGGCAGCCCGCTTACTGTATGTCGGCTGGCGACCTCGGACTTGCTGAGTCAGTACTGGACAGCGGCGGCAGCAGCAGCAGAGGCGGGCAGCCGGATTTGCTGCAGTACTAATTACAAGGGCTTCCTTAGGTTGCCCCCCTTCCTCAGCTCAGTTAAGTGATTCCCAGCCTGGTGGTGAGAGGAGGCTGATCAGCTTTTTCTCAACCCCCTCCCTTCTGTTTCGACACAGCCCAAGAAGGGAATGGGGTAGGAAACAAGAAAACCCGAGCCTCAGACTACTGTGTGGCTGATCACTGCTCACCATCACCGCTGAAGGGAGAGGGGACAGCTCCGCTCTCTGTTTTCCCTCCGGACCTCCATTCCATCAGCTTGGGGGTTGGTCCCTTTGCCCACTGCATAATCTCTGGTCAAAGTTAGACGAGGGGAGAAAGAGATCTGCTTCCTCTGAGGATCCAGGGACAAGGTAGGTGGGTGCTGGGCTGTCTGGGGGACCTGTCCACCTCAGTGCTTGGTCCAGGGCTCCTGCTGCAGGCAGCCTGGCTCCCGCTGAGTAGATGCAGTGCGGTGGGGTGGAGGGTGGGGAGGGGGGACCGGTGTGAGAGAGGCGTCTGCATGCATGTGTGCGTTTTCCTCGGAAGTGTGCTGAGCTTGTCTACCTAAGGTCCCAGGGAGCAGCCGATGTGAGGAGGAGCAGCGTGATTTGGGCGCTAAGGTGGCTGGTTCTCCCTAACAAGAAGGAGGCCAAAAAAAAAATCTTCACTGAATGTAGATAAAGCCCTTTGACAACTTGCGGTGGTTAATCGTTAATGAAAGGTCTGAAGGGAGTTTGGTTTTGTTGTTGTTTTTATTTCTGGGTGATGGAGGGGGTGTCTTTTTGTTTTTATTTCCTACATGTTACAGAAATAAATTGACAGTTCGTGTGCATGGCCAGGGTTTCAGTTTCACAAAGGAAACGCCTAAGCACAAAAAAGTGTAAAAAGTCTCATTCCACAGTGCAGTGTTTGTGTGCAGCTGGTAAATCCCCAGGCGTTTCCATGACACTGGGCTGGCTTCACCCAAGTGGAGGCACCGATGTCAAGAGAGATTCTTTTTTTTTTTCCTTGCTCTCCCTCCCTCCCCTCTTTCTCTCTATATTTCTCCTTCTTTTCCTCCCTTCTTTCCTTTCTCTTTCCCATCTCTCTTCCATTCTCTTTATCTTTTCTTCCTCTCCTTCCACCCTTCCCACTTCTTTCTACCTATCTCCCTCACCCCTCTTCTTTTCCTTTCCTTCTCTCTTTCTCCTCTGTCCCTCTCCCTCTTTCTTTTTCTCCATCTATTTTCCTCTTTCCTCTCACTTCATTTTTCTTTTCTTCTTTCATTCTTTCTGCCATCCCCTTCCCTTTCTCTCTTTCTTCCCATCTCTGTCTTTGTCTCTTTCTTTCTCTCTTATCCCATCTTTCCTCTTTCTCTATCTCCTCTTCCCTCTCCCTCTTTCTTTGTCCCCACTTCTTTTCATTCTTCACTCTCTTCCCCATCCTTTTTCTTCTTTCTTCCTCCCCATCTCTGTCTTTCTCTCTCTTTCTCTTACTCCATCTTTTCTTTCTCTGTCTCCCCGTTCCCTCTAAATCTCTCTCTTCCTTTCTTTCTCTCCCTCCTTTTCTCTCTCTTCTCTCTCCCTCATTCTCTTTCTCTCCCAGTTTCTTCCTGTCTTCCAAATGAAGCTGGCAAAACTTCAAGAAAGTAGCCTAATGCTGCATCAGGGACTAACTTAAGAATTCAATGAAACAAGTTGGCTGGGGGGAAAGAAGAGTAGAGCGTAGTTATTTGAAGAACCTATAAAGTCTTTTCAGAGAAAGTGTGTTGTGTATGAATGTATGCACAGTGCAAGCCACTAGTAAAGACTCAGTAATCCATTGACTACCAACAGACATTTTGCTGTTATATTTTTAAAATAATCATAAACTCTGATCTCCCTCTCCCAAGCATCCCATCATTTCTTGGGTCTTTGGGGTATGTTAAGTAAGGGCAGCTGTCCTTCAGATATGGATGCCTGCTTTCCTGAAGGCAGTGGAGCATATAGAGGTCTTAAGCTCTCCTTGAGAGGACAGTCCTTGCAAACGTGCTTTCTGCATACAGGGTGTATGGAGCCTGTACTTGGGTAGGTCAAAGGTGGAGTTGGCTCGCTCATCTAGGACTCTTTAACTCAGAGTATCTACCAGCATGGAGGACTGGCAAACCCGCTAGCATCCCAAAGGAATTTTTCACCAGAAAAAGCATTCCAATGGGTCATTGGGAAGTCATCTCTTCACACTAAGGGTGATTTTCACATATCTCAAACACTGGAAAATCAACTTTCTTCCCTGCTTTTGTTTGTGTAATACATGTGTTGGTTCATCATCTCATGACTACTAGAGAAAAGTTTTTTGTCTTGCCCAGAGGTCTCTTCCATGACCCCCTCACTGACATTATAAGTTCTTTTCATGGACTTTTCCTCAGACTAGTTCTGGAAGTCAAATGAACTAGCCACCCTTCTGTTATCCAAGAGCCTTCCTAGTCAAGGATCAAATTGAGGATTTTACTGTGAATTTAATCCCCATTTCTTCATTTCCCGGATTCTCACCTTTTTCCCCCTTTGACCATCACAGATGCAGAAGGTTTGTTTTTTCTGGTCAGCGGGGGTGTTAAGATCATTCTCCTTCAGAAACCATGGGTATTTGGGAGGAATTGAAATGTCCAACGGGGAAAGAAGCAAGCTAAGCTGACATACCTAATCTAGGCTCCTGATTGCTTAGGAGGCATGGATGCCAGTGTTGAGGGTGGGTCTCTGTGTTCAAAGGAGTAGGGAGTTCTGAAAAAGTAGGTTGATGATTTTTTTTTGGTTTATTTCTTTGCAGTACCCTGGGGGTTTACTCCTGTGTCCCTGGGTGTTCCTTTAGATCAGGCTTTCTTAACTTTTTGGTGTCATGGCCCCCTTGGGCAATCTGGTGAAGCCTATGAACTTTCTCAGAATAATGTTTTTAAATGCATAAAATAAAATACAGAAGGATTACAAAGGAAACTGATTATATTGAGATACAGTTATCCAAATATATATTTTTAAAATCAACTTCAGAGACCTCCCTACCTTCTCCCCCTTCCCCAGTTAAGAATCTTTGCTCTAGATAACATCTGGCAAACTTTAGAAAAGATTCTACATGAGATCTTCAGAGGATCTCGCTCCCTTTCCCCACCCCTTTAACGCTTGTCTTGGTCTCTTTGTCATGACTCAGGGATCCATGGTATACCTTCAAAAAACAGGATGCAAAATGACCCCTCCCTCCCCTTTTTTGTATGGAAAGGGAATATTGCACAATAACCGGGAGTCCAGTTTTTTGCCTTGGTTGGCTATTATACTGCCTGTGAGTGATGTAACCGACATACCTTCTAGAATTTCCAGAGAGATTCAGAAAATCCTGCAGACACTAACCCTCAGGGCAGGCGTGGGTCCTGTCCATGTCTTCTCATTTTCCTCTTCACGTCCCCACTGTCACAAAGTCTTCAACTGGAAAAGTGATCTTGGTATCTCTCGCCTCCTCTTTTGCTTTCTCCCTGCAGTGTATGTTCCATGGAGGCAGGTGCCTGCAAAGACTGCATTAGAGATTTTCCAGGAACTGGCTCTCAGCCTCTTCTCCTAGCTCCTCACTTTTTTTCCCTTTAGCTATACATTCCACAGGCCGAAATTGCCCTCCCTATTTGGGAAGGGCTGTTCTCATTTTCTAGCTCTCCTCAGGGGCTGCTTCCTATACAAGCTTTCCTTCCTTCTCCAATTACTAGTATCTTCCCCCTTCCAAATTACTTTGGACACAATTTGAATTTTACTTAACCTATATACATGATAAAATGTAATCTCCTAGAGGGCGGGAACTATTTTGGTTTTGGTTCATATACTTGGTGTCTAAAACATAGGCATCACTTAAATATTTTGTGAATGAATGAATGAATGAATGAAGCCACAGAAAGGCCTAGCTGCTATCCTAAAGAGAGCTTGACTGGTGTTCAGAGATTCAGACTCCCAAAGAAAGTATAAAGAACAGGGCTACCCATCTAATGCCCATTCTTCTCCTTCTCCAACAGTGTACCAGTGAGTGATAGCAAAGATAGAATCATCCACACCGCCCCCGCTGCCCCTAAAAGATAGGCCTTTCTGTCTGTCTGAACCTTAACCCTCCTGTATATATTGTCCTTCCCAGTTATGAAGGATGAAATGCTTTTTCATCTATTCATCGAGTAGCTGGGGTGAACTTTAATAAAGGACCCCATGAAAGGTCTTAGTGGAAGGTGAGAAAACATCGTGCCACTTACATCGTAGCTAGTGTGACCGTGCACAAGGTCAGTCCAATTCTATGTTTGTTTCTACAGTGTGATGCTGTCAAAGCAGGCTAGGTTTCCACAGAAGAGGGAAGACGAGGTGACAGAAATAACCTGAGTGATGGATAAATCTGTAGGTATCACCACTAAGCCCCAAAGGAATTTTCTACCAGCTCTTGTGCACATTCTGTAAGATGGACAAAAGCCTGCTAGAGCCTGGAGTCAGGTAAAGCTTCTATTCAGAAGCAGCCTCTGCCCTTGGCTAGCTTTGAGACTATGGGCAAGTCCCTTTACCCCTCCAAGCCTCCATTTCCATAAAACTGAGATAATAATAGCTGTAATACTTACCTCATTCATTCACCTAATAAACCTACATTAATCACCAGCTGTGTGCTACAGCATCTACAAGGTGCTCAGGATATGAGACAGAAATGAAATCATTCCTGCCCTGTAAAGTTCATTCTGCTGGGTGGGGAAAACCTCACTAGGTTGTTGTAAGGCTAACAGGATAATATGCAGAAAGCTCTTTGCAAACCATAAAAGCATACTATAAGCATAAGCTATCATTTCTGATACATTTTCTTTCTACAAATATATTCCAAGGGGGTCTGTTCACCCTAGCAGGTATATTTGTGAAGGGTAGCTTCCTTTGGGTAAAAAAAAACATAAGCCCCCAGTGTTCAGGAGCCATGTGGGTCAGCCTGCCCTTCTGGCAGAGCTGCCTGCTGCCCGGCTGGTCCTCACCTGTGCCACCGCCAGCCCCAGGATCAGGACAGTAGGGAACCTGGGCTATATTATAGGCTGCTGCACACTGCTCTAATTATAATTATTAGCATCATTATCATTATTATTATTAGCCTTACGCCGTCTTTTGTTTTGGTAGCAGTAAGTTGTAACCAAGGAGGTTCTCTGTGTACATAACTATCTCTCTCCCTTAAATCCAAGCAGAGCATTTTATGGTGTATTGCTTGATCCATAGAATTTCCAAAAGTATATCACAGCTGGATGTCATGGTTCAGGGAACTTTCCTGTAGCCTACCTCGCTAGGATAGACAGGGCTTGCTTATTAGCTAAATGAAGTGAATTCAAGTCAACAGGCATTTATTAAGCACCTGCTGTGTGCCAGGCACTGTGCTA